GACATGTAAGCAAGAAACATGATGAAAAGCAAGAGAAAGAGGATTGGGAGCATAAGGAAGGACCTTAAAGAAAAGAGGAAGTTTCATGGGAGACAAAGAAATGTGAAAAATCCGATGTGGTATCACACCCGGTTAGGTATATTCAATACCCGATCGGGTATGATATCACCCGAAGATCATACAAGATCAAACATAACAAGAGTATAACATGGGAAAATTAGATTTTGTCTTATACCCGATCGGGTATATTGACATACCTGGTCGGGTATGACTAGATTTCAACACTTTCACAGCTACTACTAAGGATACTCGGTCAGGTATCCTAGATATCATGTCGGGTATCCTAGATACCCAATCGGGTATCAGTAGATAAGAGCCGTTTTACATACCCATCTATCTCATTTCTCCTATAAAAACACCACTTTCCTTCCCATTTAACATACCCATCTATCTTCTCTTTCATATAAACTTTATTCTTGTAGTTTAGGTAGTCTTTTGACCTTGATTTCGCTATATTGAAGCTTGTGGTTTGTAAATTGTGAGTTATTTCATCAATCCTTCTCTATTAAATATTAATTACTTCCATATTCATATTTCATATTAATATTTGAGCATCGTTAAATATTTTCATTTTAATTATTACTAAAATCGGTCAATGAATATGCTTGTTATTCACTTGGTCCTTTCATAAGTAGTAAATCTGGATTATTAATGCATGCCGACGACACTAAAGTCGTTGTGTGTCTCAAAATAAATTCAATACTTGCACTGATACGTAGTATAATGTAGTAAAGATTGTATCCACAAGGAAAGAAATATTTCTATTTTATGGAACTTGTAATAAAAGGGTTTTTTTAGGATTGATTTAATTAATTTAAAACTAAGATGAATGACTTATGTGGTTTAATAAAATAGAGATTGAGACTTAGTTTTGCTTATTTCCACTTGATAAAATGTTCGTCGATCCCAATTATATTTTTAATCATCTTCCCCTCGAATACTCAATCGTGAGGTCGATCCAGATTATATCTTTAATCATCTTCCTCTCGAATACTCAATCGTGGGGTATTTCCAATTCATCGAGGGTAGTTATTAATAACGAGACGCGTTCATTAATAAAACTAACTATCAAGTCAATATAGAAGACGTGCTGGCGCTATATATTAACTCGATAGTAGTATTAAAACGTAAGATGATATCGATTGAGATTGATAACCTCAACACAAGCAGTTTGATGATTTAATTAATATAATCAATTCCCCTTAGATTTATAACCATGAGACACATACATTAATATTTCAAGTTTACTACCGTTGAAAGGACCGAACGATTAACAAGCGTATTCGTCGATCGATTCTAGTAATAATTAATATATGAAAAAAACTAGTTGATCCTTTAAGTAATCCTCAAATATTAACATGAGATATAAATAGAAATGTAATTAATGTTCAAGGAAAATGATTAAAGAAAATAACTCACAAATTACAAATCATAAGCTTCAATGTGGCAAAACCTAGATGGAAGGGCTTAGCTCCTCATTTGGAGACTAAACATGCTAGAAAATATAAGGAAAATATAAACAGAGCTTAAAAGTATACATGAATTGGTGATTTTATTGGGAAAGAAAAAGGGGTGTATTTATAGGTGTTTGAAGGTGGCAGGGCTTTGTACCCGACCAGGTATATAGGATACCCGATTGGGTTTCTGAGGTAGTTTTCTGGAAAGTCACTTTTCAGGACATACCTGGTTGGGTATGTCGGCATACCCAGGTATCCAGGTATGAGCCAAATCTTCAAAATCATGCACGTTGTTTTATCCTTCAGATCCCGATTATGAACCCAAATGAACTCAATACCGATCGGGTATTGCGTATACCTGAACGAGTATATGAACAATTTTTCCAATCTTATTTTTGTCTTGCCCCCTTACGCCTTCATTGAGCTTTTAGGGCCCAATCTTGATGCTTTGGATGATCTTGACATGTTTTAATCTCAGAATAGTCCTAATCTAAACAAATTACATCTATCTAGGAAATGAAACTAATTACACCAAAAACGTGTAATTTCCACAACCACAAATTAATAATATAAATACAACAATATGACATGCGTCTCATGGTTAATAATGTACGAGGAAGTAAGTATATTGGTTAAACTGTAAAACCGCTTGTGTTGAAGTTGTCAATATTAATTAATTTTATTAGATGGCCAGTATATTAATTAGATAGAATAGTTAGAACTGAGATTCTTGTGGGGACAACCAAGAAAATTCACCTCGGGTTACAAGTTATCATTATTAGTTGATTTCATTAAATCAACCGAATGCTACTATTAAGAACTGAAACTTTTTTTATCATCATGTATTTGGTATGTGGCATGGGAGATATAGATATAGAAAAGACATGTATTTGGTAATTTTCTATATCTATATCTCCCATGCCACGTATGTATCATGCACATTATTGTACTGGAGATGTTCTTAAACCGGAAGCGATCTTACACGGAACTCAATGGGACTAAATCTAAAATTTCCGAAAGTATTGATTGAATTGAAGACTAGAACAATATATTTCTGGCCCAAGATTTACTTGATCTCACATGAGTTATTGTTTTGCTAGCACAAACGTAACAAATGAGAATGATTTTTCGTGCATTTTACATATACAATATTGGTACAATATGAGGCGGAAGATCATAAAAAAATAAAAATATTGATATATTTTTTTGAAAAAATTGAACATGAAATCAAAAAGTTATACTCCCTCCGTCCCCTTATTATTGGGACGGAAGAGAGTGGCCTGGTGCGATTTTAAAGAAAAGTAGAATTATATGGTTGATAATGAGTTGATAAAGTGAGAATAAAGTAAGAATGAATTAGAGCCACACAAATGTTACCAAATATGATATGTGACAATAAAAGAGAGACATCCAAAAATGAAAAAGTGGGACAATTATAGGTGGACGGAGGGAGTAGCAATTATAAAATTAAAATGAATTGTTATGCCATGTGGAAGCTCAACCGGGGGGGGGGGGGGGGGGGGGGGGGTCAACCGTTTTAAAGCGTGGTGTAGCAAACTAAAAGTGAAAATTTTGCACTTTTCAGGTTGAACACCCTTTTGATTTTAACGGCGCCATATTTAATAGGGTCTGGTCTCAATGAAATCACTTCTTCTCGTAAACAATGAGAACAATTTTAAAATTGTGCATGGAGGTGCGCATACATTTATGGTTAATAGAATAATGCATATTTCAAATGATGGAAAAAGTTGAATTTATTTACAAAATTACCAGGGTATTTTTTTATTAATGATTGTGCACATGTTAGTTTCATATAATGCAGAATTCACAAATCTGACGCTCTAGATTCATACTCACAGGTCATAATTTACAAAAATGCTAGTGCACTATGTGAAAGAGAAAAGTGCAATACCACAGGACAAAAAATGTGATGGCATTTTGGCAAATAAGTTTAACTTTTCATATTATATGAAGTGTGCAAGATTTTAAGTATAAATGTACATCTGTATGAACTATATATGATATGCATTATTTTTTACCGTTTTCATTTGTGATGACAAGAAGCGCTCTCTTTGGAAAAAGACCCTATATATAGGAAAGGTCACCTAAGAAGTGTCTCTTGAAAAGTGTAAACTCTTATCTAATAGAAACAAATAAGGCAACTTATAGAAAACTCATTATAACTTAAACCTAAGACACCTTTGGGCTGGTATAGAGTATTGACTTATTGCTGTGATTCAAGTATTATGATGGAAAAATTCACAAGAATAATCCAAACTATTACCAATCTTCTCATATTAATCCTAATTATGTGTTATTCTGGAATGAATAATCTGAAATTGAGAGCTTCTCTTCTCATATTGATCTCAAGCGACCTGCTACCTGCTAAACAGGTAAAAAGCTAACAACATAAGAAAAAAAGGAGAAAAAATGTGTCCCCCGCGGCCTCACCCCTTGTTCTTTAGTTCTTTCCTCTTGTAATTTGCATCAACCATAGTCATACACGTTTTCCTCATTTTCATCTGGTTATTCCTTATTTTCTTTACATCTTTTCACTTTCTTTCTCTCCCTCCATTGCATCTGGAAGCAATTTTTTTTTGTTTTCTTACCCAAAAATTGCATGTAGAAGACTCCCTTACCATCATCAAACTCAAATTTTTAAAATTTTTAAAATTTGAAAAGCTGCGCCCAAGGCTCTTTCTTTTGCTTCATATTGCTCTTCTATTTCTTTATGTGCAATTTGACTTTCAAAAACCTCAAACGAGTTTTCGACAAGATTGGGTGGAATCGGAAACCATCGTCATTGGGGTTTGAGGACCACGTTGGTTTGAAGAGAAAAGGAAGAAGAAGAAAAAGAGCGGATGCAGGGGACAAAGACAAGAAAAAGCACTACGTGAGTGCTTGGGGGAAATGGGAAGGAAATAGTAAAAAGAAAATAAAAGAAAAAGAAAAAGTTATGGGACCAATAAACACATGCCACGTAGTTAGGCAACCTATTGAACTGGTTCAGGTAAGTCATGGGTTTGTTATAAGAAGATGTCCTTAAAAGTTTAGATTATACTAGAATTATTAATATTTGGGATTAATATTAGAAGATTGGTGATAGTTAATGTGATTTTTTCCTATTATGATTTGGAGCGGAATTCGCAATACCTTCATTTCAATCAAATGCCATTTACTTAATTCATTATTCACGTCTGTTGGGATATATTATCCCGGCCTATTACTGTTCAGGAGCCCAAGGCATCGCCCCAGCTTGGAGCCCGAATGACAAGGTCCATTTCAGCCTATTAGGCATGTTTCGGCCCCTTGGGCCCATTTTGGGCTTACTTGGCCCATTAGGGTAGACTTATTCCCTACTCCCTTTCCCCTATAAATATGGGGCTTTCCCACATGTTTAGGGATCCCTTTTTTGGATGGCTTTTTCCCTTCTTCCCCAACTCATTTCTTCTCTCTAGAATAGCTTGCAAGACTCCATTAATGGGAGCTCAGATTGTACTATGTAATGGTGAGGAGAGCCTAATGAGAAAGAGAGGGCTTGGACATTAGCCTAAAAAGTCCCGTGGTTTTCTCCCTTTCGGGTTTCCACGTAAAAACTGAGTGTTCATACATATATTTACTATATCGTGTTGGATTAAACTCAACACTGGCGCCGTCTGTGGGAATCTGTCCAAAAAGATTCACGTTGTTCTTCATTTTGAGAAGAAAAAAAATCATACTAATTAAACTGATTTTGTCAAGCAAATGAAAAGGGGGGAGATAGCCATTGCAACCCAGGAGGAGAGGTGGGGGCGAGATTAAAATTTCTGGACAATGGCTACTAATGTGACAGTGGGACCCAAATGCCTTATCTTGGTACTTCTCAAGGTGAACGTGAGAAGCCAGAAGAAAAAGCAGTGATTTGACAGTAGACATGTGGCTAACCTTGGTACACGTTATCCTTTTGCTACTATACGATCAAAGGATGGCCGAACGGTAGGCTCCTTTGGTCAACCTTGTTCAAACAAACTCCTGGCCGATTGAAGTTTTACGAACGTCTATCATACCGCCACTTCACCTCACGCCTACTCATGCCGGTCCGCAGAACTGCCAATCAAATCAACAACCTCGCCGCCGTCTTCCATACCGGAATACCCAGCACGTATGCATACCCGGTTTTGGATGCCGTTCGTTGCCAGACCAACCTCAGTTTGGACGCCCACAAAAGCTATATAGCCGTCCGTCTTTGCACTTCGGCAACCCCTGACCTCCGCAGCCGCTGCAAAGTCTTAAAGAGACGAAGAAGGTTACGGTAAGCAACAGTAGCCGTGCGGCCACTCTCTTGGTCGAAGCCTCTGGCATGGCACGTACGCCCCCGGCCTCACCAAGCAACCCGGGCCAGCCCCATAACCGGAGTAGGGCATCCCATTATTTCTTGCACAGTATGTGGTCACCCCAGGACTGCTGCTCGTCCCCAGGAATCCTCCTGCGCAGTACGTACTCCTGATTAGGGCAGTGGGACTGCAAACGGGTCCTCAAGTGGTAAGTCTAGAAATCAGGGCTGCTCGCAACCAGAGTACTCTGAGGAACACGAACTGCCGCCCGGCCTCTGTCTCGGGCAGACCTCAGCACCTCGAACCAGCTAAGTTCGGCCACCACTTGCTGCACCGCCCGGCCTGGAGCAGCAGACCAGCCAGACCCAGCAGAAGCTGCCCAAGTATGCTCATCGAGCTCGGTCTGGGGCGCATCAGCACCCAGGACTAGCAACACCGATCTCTCAGGCCGCTCCTGGACGCTTAGGCGAGGCACCAGCATTCCGCCGACTGGCACAGAAGATGCCCGGCCAATAGAAACCACCCCATTTGCCCGGACTGCCCGACGGATCGAATTGTCTCTTGTGCTTGAACGTCCGGTGGAAAACGCTGCCCGAAAAAGGTGTTTTGTTGAGCTCGGCGACTCTCAATGACCCAAGCTCGTGGGTGAAGACGTCCGTCCTCAAGAAAGTGTAGCTCAGCTCAAGCCAGTTAATGTCTAAAGGGCAGTAACATGGACCAATGGTATTGGGCTTCAAGAAAGTGCAAAGCTAAGTACCCATTCTTGGACTTTTACTTAAATTAATTTCAAATAGACACATAATATTATGTGCTCTCACCATTATTTAATAGGGATTAAAATGTCCCAAAATAAATAATGCCGAGCGAAGCTCGGGGATGAGCTTCCACCGTCACTTTAATTTAATAATCAGAGGACGCACTGAGCCGGGCCGAGGGTCATCGTACCCCAAGGTCGATGCTCATATCTGGAAGAACTGGGTGATGGGCCGGGCTGAAGGTCATCGCACTCCGAGGCCGACCGTCAAGCCGGAAGAATCCCAAGCCGACCAAAAAAAAATGTGCACATATACATATTGTCTGGCCATTTGGCCGCGTTACTATGTTCATTGTGCAGATTAAGATCATAGTCAGATAAGAGATGATGCTCAAGATGAACCTTGGTGCCAAGGGCTTGGGGACGAGCATCCTCCACCCGGAGGCCGAGGGTCTAAAGAAGACCATCAAGAGCCAAGGGTCGTGGACGAGCATCTTTCACCCCGGATGCCGAGGGCCCGAAGACGATCATCTATCGTCCAGTGGCCTAGGCCCGGGGACGAGCATCTTCCACCCGGAGGCTGAGGATCTAAATAAGACCATCAAGAGCCAAGGCCCGAAGACGATCATCTATCGTCCAGTGGCCTAGGCCCGGGGACGAGCATCTTCCACCCAGAGGCCGAGGGTCTAAAGAAGACCATCAAGAGCCAAGGTCCGTGGACGAGCATCTTTCACCCCGGATGCCGAGGGCCCGAAGACGATCATCTATCGTCCAGTGGCCTAGGCCCGGGGACGAGCATCTTCCACCCGGAGGCCGAGGATCTAAAGAAAACCATCAAGAGCCAAGGGTCGTGGACGAGCATCCTCCACCCCAGAAGCCGAGCGTCTAAAGAAGACCATCAAGAGCCAAGGGCCCGAAGACGATCATCTATCGTCCAGTGGCCTAGGCCCGGGGACGAGCATCTTCCACCCGGAGGCCAAAGCCCGGGGACGAACATCCATCACCCAGAGGCCAAAGCCCGGGGACGAACATCCATCACCCGGAGGCCAAAGCCCGGGGACGAACATCCATCACCCGGAGGCCAAAGCCCGGGGACGAACATCCATCACCCGGAGGCCAATGCCCGGGGACGAACATCCATCACCCGGAGGCCAATGCCCGGGGACGAACATCCATCACCCGGAGGCCAATGCCCGGGGACGAACATCCATCACCCGGAGGCCAAAGCCCGGGGACGAACATCCATCCCCCGGAGGCCAAAGCCCGGGGACGAACATCCATCCCCCGGAGGCCAAAGCCCGGGGACGAACATCCATCACCCAGAGGCCAAAGCCCGGGGACGAACATCCATCACCCAGAGGCCAAAGCCGGGGACGAACATCCATCACCCGGAGGCCAAAGCCCGGGGACGATCATCCATCATTCAGAGGCCGAGGGCCTAGAGGAGACCATCACGGCCGAGGGCCGTGAGACCATCCTGATTTCAGGTCGGCCTTTCATTGCCGACACCGTTATATCACGACCGGCCTCCCGGCTCGGCGTGCTTTCCATATTTGAAGACCGGTTTCATCCTCGCGCTGCGTAGATGAGAGCCGTTGCTCGGACATATCAGCCTGATCGGACACTATTGTCATCTCCTTATCAGGACCGACTGCTCAGCGACATCATGATCATTGTATGTCGGCTCCCAACGCCGATCTTCTTGAGTTAGCGATCGGGCTCACCCCTCCCCTCCAGGAGGGTGACCATCGCCTTCACATGACGACCAGCTATTCCATCGCCTCGTCATTTTATTCGTTTTTGTATCCCACCACCATTATGTGTGACATCACTTGTGGTCATTCTTAGAACCGATAAACGTATTTTCCTCCCTAAAAAAAAAGGATGGGGAGAAGGGGAGACGAGATCCTATGAGAGAGGGAGTCTTGACGAGGTATGCCTGATCTTCCTTCGCCGCGTATGACGAACGTCTCCCGACGCGGAGGTTAGTAGGAACGTGGGGGAGGCTAGACGTACCAAAGGGAACCTCGGCAAGATAAACCAGTTCCTCCCATTTCCCGTGGATCGATGAACACCTTCTGCCAAAGCAGAAGGCTAGTAGGGCCACGAGCATGGGACGACGAAGCAGGGAACCCGCGATAGGGTAAACCAGTTCCTCCTTGCGATCGGTGAATGACCGAACGTCTTCTTCGAGGGAAGAAGGTTAGTAGGATCACGACAGGGACGAACGAAGAAACGGGAACCCTGACAGGGTGTACCGGTTCCTCCCCCTTATGAACGGATGACGAACGTCTTATGCGAAGCCAGAAGACTAGTAACTCACGACTGGGGACGAACAGAGATAGGGAATCCCGACGTGGATAAACCTGTTTCTTCTCATAGTTGGGATGACGAACGTCTCCTGCGAAACCAGGAGACCAGTAACTCACGAGACTTGGGAAGAACGAAGACCAGCTCCATGGATCAGACACAGAGGACCAGTTCTTTACCGGAGTCTGTTGCGTGCCGAGTGTACACCGCTTAGCGGTCCATACATAGGACCACGGATATGGTAGACGAACGAAGACCAGTTCCATGGATCAGACACGAAGAACCAGTTCTTTATCGGAGTCTGTGCGTGCCGAGTGTACACTGCTTAGCGGTCCGTTCATAGGACCACGGATACGGTAGACTGATGAGCTAGAATTTGTGCTTCATTTTTATATTAATTTATCACAATTCTATGCTTATTATTTGCCTAATTGAGAGGTTGAGAGTTATATTTTGTGTAAAAATGATTTTTACAGGTGGGAACTTTAATTGAAGGATTTGAGGATTTTTGGACTGATTTGTGGAGATTTTCCCTTTTCCAAGGGTTGTTGGAAAATTAAAAGAAGTGAGCCAAATACTTTTTGTTTTGAAGGACTGCTCAGCAAACAACAAAATGAAAAAGAGGATTACTCCTCTAAGTGACGGCACCCACATTTGGAGAGAAAAAAATCAGTCCAGTTGTGCACTAGGAAAATAACAGGGCCAGCAAAGTCCAAATTGAAATAGACCAGAGAGTCTGGGCCATGTAACCGCACCAGAAGCTTTATATCGTAGCAGCAAGGGTTTTAAGAGGAATAAGCCGGACTGGAGCAGGAGGCAGGAGGAAGTTCGAGGTCGGGGATTCTGGTCGGGCACTAAACAGAGGAAAGGGCCAGACCGGAAGCTGGAAGGAAGGCTCGTTACCTTGTCTAGTTGGCTGGATCCCAGAAATAAGAACAACAACAACAAGTCTTGGTCTTCTTAGCCGCACCAGCAATCCAAATCCAGGAAAGAAGGGATCTTTCGGCCCAAGAACAAAGAAGAGGGTGGCGAGGGTTTTTAGGGAGGAGGCCAGACTAGAAGGCAGGACTCAGGCTCGGAGGAAGCCGGACAGGAAAAAAAACGGGGCTGCGGAGTCACTCTCTGCTTAGAGCAACGGACAAAATTCCACTGCCAGAAGGAAGAACAGAAGCCAGGGGAGTGCAAAATTGCTATTGCTCTTGGAATTCTGGTTTGAATCAGTCAAAATTCCCCGGTTCTTGAATTGTTCCTTCCTTGTTGATTAGAACTTGTCTTTGTTTAGTTATTTGGGCATTCCAAGCAATCATATGTTGTTGATTGTCAGGATAATAAAAACGAACTATTTGCTTTTCAACCTTTTCTTAGCATTTTACTTTAACATGAGTAGTTAATTTTCTTAAGTCCCGGATTATGATGAAGTTGCTATGATTTAGTATGAATTGTGATTTTAGTTAAGTCAATTGATTGAGTTTTATCCATTGTTCTTATTCGCTTAATTTCTTGTGTTAACTTTTGGCCAACTTTAGCATGATTAATTAAGTTGTTTGAGTGGATTAATAGAGTACATGCCATGCCTATTAATTCGAGCTCTTTTGGATAAAAGAATAGATAATTGAACTGTCTTGTTAGATTATCTATTTGGTTCTTAAATCGGGTTTCCGTAGTTCTTTTGTGATTAATGGATTTTAACTATTTAATTAATAATTTTAATTAATTAATAGTTAAAGTACGTGACTTATTCTGGACGTCATACGGAATAATCATATTTATGCCTAGAACGAACCCTCATATTTAATTGACTAACTAAATCGCAAATACTAAAGATTAGTGACAGATTCATAATCCTGGACTACATTTTCTCTTGCTTAATTCTCAATCAATCTCAAATTAGTTGTTTAATCATTTTATTTTCATTCATTTAAATTCCTTGCATTCATTTTATTCCATCTGTAGTATTTCATTTCAAATCAAACAAATCCAAAACTCATTTTTTTAGTTAGATTACTTTCACTTTTATTTTTATTAATTAATAGTTTTCCAATTACTTGGTTACATTTTCCCTGTGGATTCGACCCTTACTTGTGCACTATACTACCGTGACTCGTGCACTTGCGAGGACTTATAAATTGTCTATCAATTTTTGGCGCCGTTGCCGGGGAATTTGTTTAACTAGTTTTTTGGAAAATTGTTAATTTTGTTTTATTTTAGTTAGTTGTGTTTGTTTTTCTTTTTTTTTTTCGTTTTTTTTGTATGCTTGGTCGCAGGTCACTTAATCCAGATTTGATTCCGCTGAACGATCAAGTAGATTTAATTGGCAAAAGGATAAAGAGGAGCCTCAAATTTGCTTCTAATCCAACAATGGGTGACGCGCAACTTATGAAAGAGTTTGGGAGACCAACTGTAGGTGTCTCCCCGTCCTGCATTGTACTAAGTGAGGCTGCCCGGAATTATGATCTAAAGACGGTCCACTATAACCAACTGCCATCTTTCTATGGGCTTTCTTCTGAGGATGCGCTGATCTTTATCCGAGATTTCTACGGCATCATCCAAAATTTTCCCTTGCAAGGAGTGACTGAAGATGAGCTGAGGATGAGGTGCTTTCCGTACACTCTCAAAGATGCTGCTAAGACATGGTTTATGTCTTTGACACCTGGTTCCCTGCGCACATGGGCTGATGTCTACAATAAATTCATTGGCAAGTATTATTCTCAGTCAAAAACTTCAGAATTAAGAAGAAAAATTGCCAATTTTACTCAAGCTGAAGGTGAGCCATTTCATGAGGCGTGGGAGAGATTTAAGATGCTGCTCACTCAATGTCCACACCACGGTTATTCATTGGCGCTCCAGAATCAGACCTTTTATGACGGTTTAAACCAAGGATGCCAAGCTATTGTTGACAACGCAGCTGGAGGAGCAATGGGAGAGAAGACCGCAGAACAGACTTTAGAGCTTTTCGAGATGCTTGGAGCTAATTCCCAGCAGAAGAGTGTGAGAGGCAGGACTCCAGGAATTTATGAAGTGGGTGCAAGTACAGAATTGGCCATCCAGATATCTGAGCTCTCTAAACAAATGAAGAACATGTGCACTGTGATGACAACAATGAGCATGTCTACTCCTGTTGTGAATGCAGTACCTGAAGGTGGTTTTGAGCAAGCCCACATGATGACCTCCTACAACCAAGGACCAAGGAATGATACATTTTCTAACTTCTACAATTCTGGCTGGAGGAATCATCCTAACCTTTCATGGGGTAACACACAACAAAGCAACCAGCCACCACCACCTGTACAGAAGAAGCCTGCTTTGGAGGATACTCTTCAAACTTTCATGCAAATCTCCATCCAAAATCAGCAAGCAAATGAGCAGCGTTTTCAGCGCACCGAGGCCTCTTTGAAGAAGCTAGAGATACAAGTTGGGCAGATTGCTGAATCTCTCCAAGGACACGTGCAAGGGAAGCTACCGAGCCACATTGAGGAGGCAAAAGTTGTCACAGTTCTTAGGAGTGGGAAGATAATTGAGAAAGATGAAAGGCAGCCCATTTTGAAGCCACCGGAAGAGGTAGAAGCTGAAAATAAAGAACTTGAAGCTGAATCAGTGAATGAGGAGACCGGGCTGCACGAAGCTGAAGATCCATATGTGCCGCCTAAGCCATATGTTCCACCCGTTCCTTTTCCAAACAGGTTAAAAAGTTCTAAGCTTAGCAGTTCTTTTGAAGAGATTTATAAGTTGTTGTCCAAAGTTAATGTGAACTTGCCTCTTCTTGACGTGATAAAAAACATGCCTGCCTACGCTAAATTTTTGAAAGAATTGAGCACTAGAAAGCGTAGGTATGAACCGAATGAAAAAGTGTTTGTTTCTAAGGCTGTTAGTGATGTTTTGCAAAAAGATTTGCCCCCAAAATTAGAAGACCCTGGCAGTTTTATTATCAACATTAATTTAGGGAATTCTAAATCTGAGAAAGCTATGCTTGATTTGGGGGCAAGTATTAATTTGATGCCTTATTCTGTTTATTTGAAATTAGGGTTAAATGAGCTAAAATCCACTACTATGTCCCTACAGCTTGCTGACCGTTCTATTAGATATCCTAGGGGCATAATAGAGGATGTTTTAGTTCAAGTTGATAAGTTGATCATTCCTGCTGATTTTGTGGTTTTAGATATGGATGATCAGTGCAAGCATGTGAAAGATATGCCAATTTTACTTGGTAGACCTTTTATGGCTACGACAAAAACAATGATTGATGTTCAAAATGGAAAATTGACTATGAGTGTACTTGATGAAACTGTTGAGTTTTCTATTTTGAAATCAATGAGTATGTCGGTTGATTCTAATTCATGTTTTGCACTTGATATTCTTGATCCTATTGTTTCTTTGGACAAGTCGCAGGAAGATGGTCTTGAGAATCATGCTTTTGAGAAAGAGAAAGTTTGTAAGAAGTGCATTAATTGTTTGCATCAAAAGTCCATTTTGAGGAAGGATTTTAAACCTGGAATTAAAGTGTTATTGCTTGACTCTCGTTTAAGATTTCTTCCAGGAAAAATAAAGTTTAAGTGGACTGGTCCGTATGTGATTCGCCAAGTTTTTCCCGACGGTGCAATTGAGCTTGAAAATCCAAAATCCGGGAATATTTTTAAAGTGAATGGTGAGAGAGTGAAGAGATATTCATGTAGTGAAGATTCAGTGGAGCAAGTTGAGAGTCTTGAACTGCTTTGGGAACACTTTTGTTCATGCATTTAATCACCTGTTTAAAAAAAATCAAAAAAAAAAAATTCAAAAAAAAACAATCAAAAACCAAAAAAAAAAAAAAAATCATTTTCTTAATTCTGTTTCCCCCTCCCCATCCTGTTTTCGTTTTCTTTCTTTGTCTTTCTGTTTTGCAGGTTATATTTCAAGAGGTTACTGTTTTCGTTTGAAGTGCATTCAGGGAGTATCTTTTTCTCCTTTCCCTTTTTTATTAATCGTTCATTGTACATATTGTTTCATTGTTTGAAATAAGTGTGGGGGAGGAGTAGCTCTCATTTTTTTAGTTTTATTTTAGTTTTAAAAACCAAAAAAAAAAAAACAGAAAACTGCAGAAAAAAATTCAGAAAAAAAAAAACTGTTTTTTCTTGCTTGGATTTGAGGGAAATGTAATTTCAGGATTACTTTTTGGTTTCAAGTTGTGAAAATTTTCCCTTTCATTGGTATGTGGTATGATTGGTGGTCTCCATGATAGGTATTCTCTTGAATTTGATTGAGTCCTTCACATTGTTTTTACTTGGAGTCAATTTCCTAGCCTCTTGTGCCATTAATTTGGATGTATTTCCGGATTCCTTATGATCTTTTAGGATGAATCTCTAACATTCTAGGAAAGAGTGTGAGTTCTTTGACTTTTAGTTAGCATGATAGAACTTGTCTTGTTGCTCTTTTGGAAGCTAAGTTATTGTGCAAACTGATTGAGATATGATCTAGGCCATTTTTCATAGCCCCAAACCTTTTAGCCTACCCTTTGCATTTTATTACAGCTTGCTACCCCTTTGAACCTACTTGGTCTTATAGCATTCTACCGTGCTTTTGACTAATAATTTCTTTGTGATTACCCATCAATATTGACCCGAGCCCAAATAGCCAAAATTTATCCCTCACCCTTGAGTTGACATTTTTTTTTACTTAAATTGTGACTTGGAAGAGTTTTCATCTTATTGGAGCATTTTTTTCCCGGCTGTTTGTATATGTAATTTTGTCATGGCACCTTGACATTTCCTTTTAGAAGTAGTGTTGATGTAGCATTCAAAAAAAAAAGAGCTGAAAAAATACAAAAAAAAAAATTACAAAAAAAAAAAAACAGAAAAAAAAAGTGAAAAAAGAAAAAAAAAGATGAGTTCAGTTGAAGTTTGTATTCTTTTCACTTTATGTATGTATTCCATTGTCTTAGAAGCCGGTTGATTGTTGTAATAGTTTTTTTTTTTGTGCTCCTTTACCATATTTTTGAACTCTTCCTATGATCAGTTTAGTATATAAAATGTCTTCTCCTTTGTTTGAATTCTCATATCCTTTCTTTCATTAAACCATTGCTCATGGCCACGTTACAACCCCAATAATAGTCCTAAGTGATCTTGATCAAGTTTGTGCTTTGATAAGGTGGAAGGAAGAGCATAAGATGACAATAGAGTGTTGACTGATTGGCTTAGGACTGCATAATTTCTGTGAATGTTACTTGAGCATTTCACTAGGTCATTTAGAATTGTAAAAGACATCTCTATTAATGACATGTGAGTCTAGTTGATTGGCTTTTGAGTTTGACATTGTGGTGGATACTTGATTTGAATTTCTTGAGTTATCTTGTCATGGATGAAGGGTTTGTTGGAATGCTTGGTGAGTGAAGGGAATTTTGATCACTTGTTGCCGAATTTGTTTCTTGATATTAATTTTCCTTGGGGACAAGTAAAATGCAAGTGTGGGGGAGTTTGATGAGCTAGAATTTGTGCTTCATTTTTATATTAATTTATCACAATTCTATGCTTATTATTTGCCTAATTGAGAGGTTGAGAGTTATATTTTGTGTAAAAATGATTTTTACAGGTGGGAACTTTAATTGAAGGATTTGAGGATTTTTGGACTGATTTGTGGAGATTTTCCCTTTTCCAAGGGTTGTTGGAAAATTAAAAGAAGTGAGCCAAATACTTTTTGTTTTGAAGGACTGCTAGCAAACAACAAAATGAAAAAGAGGATTACTCCTCTAAGTGACGGCACCCACATTTGGAGAGAAAAAAATCAGTCCAGTTGTGCACTAGGAAAATAACAGGGCCAGCAAAGTCCAAATTGAAATAGACCAGAGAGTCTGGGCCATGTAACCGCACCAGAAGCTTTAGATCGTAGCAGCAAGGGTTTTAAGAGGAATAAGCCGGACTGGAGCAGGAGGCAGGAGGAAGTTCGAGGTCGGGGATTCTGGTCGGGCACTAAACAGAGGAAAGGGCCAGACCGGAAGCTGGAAGGAAGGCTCGTTACCTTGTCTAGTTGGCTGGATTCCAGAAATAAGAACAGCAACAGCAAGTCTTGGTCTTCTTAGCCGCACCAGCAATCCAAATCCAGGAAAGAAGGGATCTTTCGGCCCAAGAACAAAGAAGAGGGTGGCGAGGGTTTTTAGGGAGGAGGCCAGACTAGAAGGCAGGACTCAGGCTCGGAGGAAGCCGGACAGGAAAAAAAACGGGGCTGCGGAGTCACTCTCTGCTTAGAGCAACGGACAAAATTCCACTGCCAGAAGGAAGAACAGAAGCCAGGGGAGTGCAAAATTGCTATTGCTCTTGGAATTCTGGTTTGAATCAGTCAAAATTCCCCGGTTCTTGAATTGTTCCTTCCTTGTTGATTAGAACTTGTCTTTGTTTAGTTATTTGGGCATTCCAAGCAATCATATGTTGTTGATTGTCAGGATAATAAAAACGAACTATTTGCTTTTCAACCTTTTCTTAGCATTTTACTTTAACATGAGTAGTTAATTTTCTTAAGTCCCGGATTATGATGAAGTTGCTATGATTTAGTATGAATTGTGATTTTAGTTAAGTCAATTGATTGAGTTTTATCCATTGTTCTTATTCGCTTAATTTCTTGTGTTAACTTTTGGCCAACTTTAGCATGATTAATTAAGTTGTTTGAGTGGATTAATAGAGTACATGCCATGCCTATTAATTCGAGCTCTTTTGGATAAAAGAATAGATAATTGAACTGTCTTGTTAGATTATCTATTTGGTTCTTAAATCGGGTTTCCGTAGTTCTTTTGTGATTAATGGATTTTAACTATTTAATTAATAATTTTAATTAATTAATAGTTAAAGTACGTGACTTATTCTGGACGTCATACGGAATAATCATATTTATGCCTAGAACGAACCCTCATATTTAATTGACTAACTAAATCGCAAATACTAAAGATTAGTGACAGATTCATAATCCTGGACTACATTTTCTCTTGCTTAATTCTCAATCAATCTCAAATTAGTTGTTTAATCATTTTATTTTCATTCATTTAAATTCCTTGCATTCATTTTATTCCATCTGTAGTATTTCATTTCAAATCAAACAAATCCAAAACTCATTTTTTTAGTTAGATAACTTTCACTTTTATTTTTATTAATTAATAGTTTTCCAATTACTTGGTTACATTTTCCCTGTGGATTCGACCCTTACTTGTGCACTATACTACCGTGACTCGTGCACTTGCGAGGACTTATAAATTGTCTATCATAGACGAACGAAGACTAGCTCCCCAGATCAGACAGAAGGGACCAGTTCTCCACCGGAGTCTGTTGCATGCCGAGTGTACACCGCTTAGCGGTCCGTACATGGGACCACAGATACGGTAGACGAACGGTGATCAGCTCCTCAGATCAGATAGGAGGGACATCGCCCAGATTTATTTCAGGCTCACCATTCCTTCCCGGATGGAGTCCTGGCAGATGATCGGCTTCTCACAGTCAATCAGGATAGAGACTTGACACATCACCGGCACGGCCGAGGGCCGTGAGACGATTATCACTCACCGACAGGCCGGGGGCCATGAGATGATCATCACCATTTTTATGCATCACGATCGGCTCCTCAGCGCCATCGTGTCCAGATTCACGGTTCGGCTCGCCCATTCCCTCCAGGATGGCGACGACCGTCTTATGCAGTACGATCGGCCCCTCTGCGCCATCGTACCCAGCTCACGTTCAGCTCGTCCATCCCTTCCAGGGTGGCGACGAATGTCTTATGCATCAGGATCGGCCCCTCAGCGCCATCGTGTCTAGATTCCCGGTTCGGCTCGCCCATTCCCTCCAGGATGGCGACGACCGTCTTATGCAGTATGATCGGCCCCTCAGCGCCATCGTAAACGATTCACGGTTCGGCTCGTCCATTCCCTCCAGGATGGCGACGACCGTCTTATGCAGTATGATCGGCCCCTCAGCGCCATCGTACCCGATTCACGGTTCGGCTCGCCCATTCCCTCCAGGATGGCGACGACCGTCTTATGCAGTATGATCGGCCCCTCAGCGCCATCGTACACGATTCACGGTTTGGCTCGCCCATTCCCTCCAGGATGGCGGCGACCGTCTTATGCAGTATGATCGGCCCCTCAGCGCCATCGTACCCCGATTCACGGTTCGGCTCGCCCATTCCCTCCAGGATGGCGACGACCGTCTTATGCAACACGTCTGCCTCTCGGCGCTGACATGCCCGGTTTATCGATGAGAGTTACCGCTTTCTATCACATCTCACATTCCTTCTCTCATACATTGCACCCATACATTACATGCATTCATGCATCATACCTCATACATTCATATATACACACGTGCATCGTGTCTTGCCAGTACCGCGACGTCGGTTTATAGATGCATGGACCTCTAAGCTTCTCCGATTGGAAAGCTCGAGTCAGAGTCCTTTACTCCCGCCTGATGCGTTCAGGGGGAGTGTGCCCGTGGAGGAGCACCCTTCGCCCGACCCCGTCGGGAAGGGGGGTGCCTCACCGGCAGATTACGTTCAGGAGTACAGACACCCACTCATATATTATGATTATTCGAAGACACAGTTTCCAGCAAGACAGAGGAAGAGCGCATGCAAGAGTATATTTTCTCGAGCAGATTCGCACGCTCACTACTCAAGAAACTGGGGGACTTGTGTTGGGATATATTATCCCGGCCTATTACTGTTCAGGAGCCCAAGGCATCGCCCCAGCTTGGAGCCCGAATGACAAGGTCCATTTCAGCCTATTAGGCATGTTTCGGCCCCTTGGGCCCATTTTGGGCTTACTTGGCCCATTAGGGTAGACTTATTCCCTACTCCCTTTCCCCTATAAATATGGGGCTTTCCCACATGTTTAGGGATCCTTTTTTGGATGGCTTTTTCCCTTCTTCCCCAACTCATTTCTTCTCTCTAGAATAGCTTGCAAGACTCCATTAATGGGAGCTCAGATTGTACTATGTAATGGTGAGGAGAGCCTAATGAGAAAGAGAGGGCTTGGACATTAGCCTAAAAAGTCCCGTGGTTTTCTCCCTTTCGGGTTTCCACGTAAAAACTGAGTGTTCATACATATATTTACTATATCGTGTTGGATTAAACTCAACAACGTCATTAGGATAATCTCATCCATTGTTCGAACTCTCTCTCCAAGTATGTTTTTACTTGGATTATTTTCAATACAAGAACATAACAAACTAGACTAGACTTAAACAATTATAAAATACCTAAAGATCAGACATCTATCAGACCAGACCACTTCAAATCATACCAGACCAGAAAAGATAAGTCCAAATAAAACATCTTATATATAGGTATATACCTGACTGAACCGCCATCCGGCCACCATGTTTTGAGCTAGTTCCCAGTGGAATATTTTGATGAAATATTTTGAGCATGTTCTTCATCAACTCTAGTTTAATCATACCAAATGTCAGCTATAAATTCAATCGGAAAGACATTCAAATGATTTTTGGAAGTTAACTGCGCCCCGTTATATACATATATAACGCAGTTATCATACAAAAATCATTTGAGTACCTTTCCGATTGAATTTTTTTTATTGAAATTTGGTATAGATATACTAGAACTCACGAGCCATATATCAATCCAAATATATTACTAAAACTCACGAGTTTTTAAGAATATGACCATACATGATACATGATTTGGCTAGATGCATATTAATGGCCTCCCAACCGTTTCCCTAATTGTGCATATCAATTTCACCATGCATGACATTATTTAAGGTATTATTATAGAAATAATAATTAAGTACTCATATAATCGAAAAGACATGTTATTTTAGTAATATGAGTGATAAATATCTCTATTATTTATCTATGATAACCTTTGACTATTTTGGCCATTCGTTATATACCTGCAAAGTTAGAAATGATACTTTTATATTAAAAATCTAAAAGTGTTGTTTTCAACTCTAAATATACTATTTATTTTGATCTGGCCGGCTCCCCTCAAAAAATTAATTAAAAGCAAATAAAAGTCGTGTAATAATAATAGCTAATTGAAAAAAAAAATCAATGATCATCATAACAAAAGTGTAGTTTTTTATAATTAGCTGTAAAGAGAACATATACTCCGTATGGGTATTAAGTTAGACAATTTCTAAACCAAAAAGTAAACATTTGTTTCCATATGTTTTTCCATAGATCGTTTTCTTTATTAAAAAATCAATGGTATTATAATTATTAATTCTCCTTAATAGGACTAAATCAATAAGGAAGTTCCAAAATAAGAGTACTTGCTGATTTATTCCGTATATAGGAGTTTATTGTTGACCGGCCCATTCCCTTTTCCAATTATACCCCTCTTTGCTAGGCATGGCAATGGGCCGGGGCGGGTATGGCAAGACCCGGACCCGCCCCGTGACTTGGCGGGGCGGGTCCGCCCCGCCCCGTGACCTGCACGGGTCCAAACTTGTTGACCCATGACCCGCCCCAT